GTTGCCAACAAGAGCTTGGCTAGAAGCGAGCCAGAGCATGCCACTTAACTTCTGGCAATCATTGACGTCAGTGAGCTGGAAAGATAGTCGCACAGAGCGTCACAGTTTGTGCTGAGAGCTCTTAGTTACCTGGAATGCTGTGACCACCCCCCTGCTGCCCCACCGCCACCTGGCCACCCCCAAATGAGCTGTCAGCTGAGGAAAAAGCCACAGGCTCCCTCATTATAGGGATGTCCCTGGCTATGGGTACAGAAAATAAGAGGAAACCCAACTGTTTTTAGTCATGACTGGCATGGTCAGCCCAGGGTACTAGGAAATGGGAAAATGTTGGGCCACTGCAAAAAGTGGCTGTGGCCACAATATAGTTCGCCATTTTTAGAAAACAAAGGACCTGTTATCATCAGCGTGTTGCTTTTCCTTTACTGTTCAATGAATAGGCTGGAGGTGTGTCTGGGTCTCGTTGTAGTGCTGTAGCTGAAGGTCACCAACCTGGCTATACTGTGTGGTAAGGGTGGTTAGATCACAGGACTCAAAAAAATTGGTGTCCAGGAGCGCCAGAAGCAGTCATCCCTTAACCCTCATAAGGGAAACATACAGAGCATAAGTGCAGGATGCAGCCCCAATACAGTCAGGGTGACTGAGACATCTACAAGAAAACACAAAGAGAGGGGCGCCTTTCCTAGTGCAGATTAGTTTATTCAACGATCATAAAAGAAAACAAGCTGGCAGGTACTCACAATGGTAGATTGGCAACAAGTTTGTGAAGCAATATAAAACGGAGCACTGGAGGGATCCGTATAATGAGTCCTGTGTGCAGATCAGTAGGGTGTCGACGCGTTTCCGGGGCACGCCCCCTTCATCAGAATGTGAATGCTGAAGGGGGCGTGCCCCGGAAACGCGTAGATAACAGGACTGCCTGATAGAATTACAAATCCCTTGGCAGGTGCAATGATACCCAGATATGTTTTCTACCTTTGTATTTAGCTGTTTGTCTGTAGGACTGTTTCAAAAAGTTTTTTTTTAATTGCATATTTAAACAATGTTAGTCCTTCGTTCCAGGGCACTTGCATGCATTTTGATGCGTTCACATGCGTTCCAGAGCAGGTAAAATAGGGCTTGCTGCAGTTTTTTTTACATGCTCTGGAACTGAGCGCTGTGGTGTGAACTAGAGCCCAAAATACCATTGGAATACATTGGACGCAGTTTTGATCCGGTTTGTAACTGCTTTGCTCCTGGAATGCGCTTGGTGTGAACAAGGCCTTACTGTCACTTCTTGAAGAAGTGGTCATGGGGACTTCTTACGTTGCGATTGTTTTGTTAGATGATGCTTCAGTTTCAGACAGCCGCAGATGTAAACAGTTGCAAACTTATGCAAAACACGCGCAAAACACATGCAAGCGGAAAAATAGTGCAAGCTGTGGTCAAAACAGGTACACATGCTAAAAAGAGCGGCTAAACAGATTTGCACATTAAAAAAAAAATGATCTAAGAAGCTAAAACTGTCGCACTTGGTTTGATAAATTCCCCCCCAAAGTGTCAACAACAAGGGTAAGCAACCTCGGCACTCCAGCTGCGGTCAAACTACAAATCTCATCATACTTCTGCCACTGGGAGTAATGCCTGTGGCTGTCATAGTCTTGCAATGCATTATGCGACTTGAAGCTAAATAACAGCTGGAGTGCGAGGTTGTCTACCCCTGGTCTACAAAATTTTAGGCAAAGTTTTACAGAGAAACACCCTAGGTTCACTAAATGGTGGCATGCTAGCAGAGGCGTTCCGAGGCAGGGTGTCAACCGAAGCGGGTACCAGGTGACACCCCACAGTGACGCCATTACGCATGCGTTTGACGTATTTGCGCACACACAATGTCACCGCACACACACGTAATGACGTCACCCGCTGTTGAGAGAGGAGGGAAAATTCCCCCAGCGGGATAAGGTATGCTGCTGGGTCACCTCCTCTCTCTCTCTCTCGATCAATTGTCTGGCTCTTGGTCAATGACCGAGTGCCCAGCTTTTCAGAGGGGGTGACACTAAAATGACTGCCAGTCATTTTGGTGTCACCTCTCCAGTGGTGTCACCTGGGTGCGGGCCGCACCACCCGCATCCCCCTAGTGATGCCACTGCATGCTAGTAGCCTTCCCTATCGCATTCTGTATAACATATAGGTATCTATTCTCTGGCATTACTGAAAACACATATCATCACATAGGCAGAGGTGCAACAAGCCCTTCCACATAGCTGTGTTCATTTTGAGTACCACTTGGAAGAACTGTGTTGGAACTTGTCAACATATTGTCATTCCTTTCTTTTAGATGTTGATGAATGCGTGGAAGGAACAGACACATGCCACATAGATGCCATCTGCCAAAACACCCTTCGGTCATATAAGTGCATTTGCAAGTCTGGATACACAGGGGATGGAAAGCACTGCAAAGGTATACTATTAGAAGCATAGAGCATTGTCAGTACAGTTTATAGATCTTGACTGCCCATTGCTTTCATTTATGCCTCAATGCCAACCTGTGCTATCCAATAACAATGATATAAATATGAAAGAATTCAGAATGATAACTTCATACCATCCCTTAAAGTAGTATTAAAATCTCAATCTTTTTCAATAATAAATACAGATAAAACAAATATACAGTGCCTAGCAAAGTATGTCTTTACATGTTTGCCCAAGCAATTACAGTCATCATGTTTCCAAACAGCTGGCTCCAACTCTCACAGTTCAACTTCACTGAACTTCTTTCCAGTACAAGGTCACAAGGGACAGAACAGTCTCTAGCAGCTGTCCATCTACTAGCTTGGAGAAGGGAGGAAGAATGACTGGGGAGCAACGAGCAGGGGAGTGTCTTGTCTTGCTGTGCCTATATGTTTTATTGAGACACACAGCTCACTAGCGCACACAAGGGTGGCTCCATAGAACTCTGCAAGGGAAAGAGGATATCAAGGCCAGTGCTCAGGGTGCCAACTGATTCTGCAGGGAAACTAAAACTTTTAAAAATCAAACAGCAGTAATTTAAAGAACTCCAGGAAAAATGTTTAACCCTTGCAGTGGGGCTACCTTGGCACTGCAAGGGTTAACTGCTCATTTTTGTCTAGGTAAAAGGTTATACTCGCCATGGTGCCAACTTGTTCTCAGACCGGCCCTTCCAGCCTCTCTCTCCCTCTACTGCAGCAGTCTAAGGCCCCTTGAATTATCACGTTCTATACACAGTGTATAGACGCGAGGATGCTGAGGAAGATTATAATGCTGCAGCAGAAGAGGAGAGAGGCTGGAGCGCTGTGATAGCTGGCCGGCACAGAGCTACAGGTGAGTATAACTGTGTTATTTTTTAACCTAGACACAAAATGAGCACTTAACCCTTGCAGTGCGGGGATGGCCATGTATGCCAATATATTTTGTGAGTATGCAAAATCAAAGCCTCTAAATTTAAAAAATGAGTTAAGGGCAGAGTGAAACCAAATCTTTGTATGGTGGCATCAAGACCTACCTCCTACAGGCAATCATCCTGCCAACATAGCAAAGGATTGCACTAGCTTTGCACAGATTTTTGACCAGTTCTTAGTACAATCGGTAGCTACAATGTTTCCTTTGTCTAGAAAATCTGTATTTATTATGTATGCTTTGCTTTTAGTTTGGAAGATGTTCAAAAAAGTTAGTGGTACAATCATTTTAACTGAGCACATGTAGTGCATAGTAATATAGGGCACTAGTCTGTATGTCTTTTACAGTGACCGAATAGCACAGAAACCTTTTTTTTTCACATATTTTGATTGAATAAAATTTTTTTGAAATAGTAAATATTTCTGCTTTGTCTTCCTAGATGTGGATGAATGTGAACGCGATGATAATGCAGGATGCGTACACGAGTGTGTGAACATACCTGGCAACTACAGGTGCATGTGCTATGATGGCTTTCGATTGGCACACGATGGACACAACTGTCTTGGTAAAGTAAAATGTACTGACAGACATTACCTCTAATAAAGCTGAACTCCAGACAATTATAAAAGCACATTAATGCAGCTACTTACTCATTAATAAATTGGTACATGTGTTTTTTAAAATTTCAGTTCTTGTGAGTACCCTACTTTGATTCGATTTCAGTCTATTTAAATTCTCTGTACAGCACCACTCAAGACTGAAAGAGAGGGGACAGGGCAGAAAACTGATCAGTTGTGCTACAAATGGGGTGACAAAGAACTAGTTCACAATATAAGAGCACAGAAAGAGCATTGAGCATGAGATTATTTCATCAGTCTGTACAGCAGCACTAAGACTGGAAGAGAGGGGACAGGGCAGGAAACTGGTCAGTTGTGTTGCAAATGGGGTGGCAAAGAACAAGTTCACAATATAAGAGCACAGAATGAGCATGAGATTATTTCATCAGTCTGTACAGCAGCACTAAGACTGGAAGAGAGGGGACAGGGCAGGAAACTGATCAGTTGTGTTGCAAATGGGGTGGTAAAGAACAAGTTCACAATATAAGAGAACAGAATGAGCATTGAGGATGAGATTATTTCATCAGTCTGCTGCTGCTCCTTCACCATACAATGAGCAGGCTGAGGGCAGATGACACCACTGTATTCCTTAACCGTGACAGAGGAAGTGGGTGTGCTGTATGGTGGAGCCGTGTAGATCTCAGGACTAAGGAACTAGAAATGTACATTCTTTGACAGGTAAAACCTCTCTCATTTATGTATTTCATCTGCATATTTAGCTGTTTGACTGGAGTTTAGCTTTAACCTTAAATTGCTTCCCATTGTCACTTTGCTTGTTTTTTGCCTGTATATTTTGTCTATAGTATGACTGGTATGAGCATAAAGATAATATGACAACAGACTTTGTATACATTCGTAAAACATGAATACAAGTGGTAGTAAAATACACTTAGCCCACAAAAAAAAAAAAGAATTTGGTAGCTTCATTCATTCTATTGAACTAAAACTAAACAGATACTTTTTTATACAAATATGATTCTATTGCCACATAATTAGCTTTGCTGAGCCTGAAGGCAATCCTACTGATATCTGTGAGTTGCTAGTACAGTACGTAACGCTGCAACATATGAAATACAGTAGCCATACACACCTAAAATGTATACAGGTTTTCTGTCCAACACTACACTTAAGATGATACTCATGTGAATCAGCAATCAGCTTTGAGGGTTGAGATGACCAAGATTATTTTTAAACCCTAACACTGAACTTCTTATTTGGTCCCTTTTGAACTGTAAAATATATCACTGGAAGCATTTTGTTTGATCTGATTCTCGTAGAAAAAATTGCCACACAAGCGACAGATATCACAAGCTTGATACTGTTTATTCCCTCCATCTCTAACATGAGATCTCTTATCTCTATGAATAAACCATTTGGTGAAACATGTTAGAGTTGGAGGAGCCTGGGTTTGTTTACAGCACGTTTTGCCTTTGCAGCATCCTTATTAGTTATCTTTGAGGACTACAGAAACCCCTCCTATCTATGCAGTATAGGAGAGGATGGGGGAAGGTTACATATTCACATAGTCAGGTTGAAAACAGACAGTCCATCAAGTTCAACCTATAAAGAAAAGTCTTGTCCGATTTCTATTGTCCTGATACCATATGGTGAGTGAGCATCAGTGACGAAGCTAGACAGACCAGTGCTGTGTGGGGTCTCAGGAGGATGTGTAGGGTCTCACCAGGGCTGTGTGCAGAATCACCAGAGCTACGTGCGGTATCACCAGGGCTGCGTTCGGTCTCACCTGGGCTGCGTGTGGTCTCGCCAGAGCTACGTGCAATCTCAGCAGGGCTGCTTGCGATCTCAACAGGGCTACGTGCAGTCTCCCCAGGGCTGTGTGGTCTTGCCAAGGCTGTGTGTGGTTTTGCCCATGCTACGTGCGGTCTCAGCAGGGCTACCTGTGGTCTCAGCAGGGTTACGTGCAGCCTCTGCAGGGTCTCAGGTGGATGCCAGGGCTGACAGCTCGCTCGCACTACGTGTCCGGGTTGGTACTCTCTCTCCCCGGCTGCTCTCTGCCTGACACCATTCCTAGGCCCCCCCCTTCCCAGCGCACTCTCGTACAGCGCAGGCCCGGGCAGTGCCTGCAGAGTGGCGGGAGGGAGCGGTCCTGGCGGCCAGGTAATAACATTAAGTTTCCCACCTGCTCCTGGCGCCCGGGCCCCTGATCCCCTCCTAGTTTTGGCACTTGTGAGCATTGACAACCTAGGACAAGAGGTTAGTGCAGAATGCCGAGGTGAAAGGACCTGGTAAGTTACAATATTTCAAAATTTTTGTTTTTAGATGCACTTTGATTGCTGGGACCACTGCCGGGATCGTATGCCGTGGGTGAACAGATCTAGTGAAACCTCTAGGTGTAGATCAGTGGTGGTTGTGGATCAGTATGAAAAGTGCTGTCTCTGGCAACAAGGATATTTCTGTCCATCAAGTTGCCTTACTTCTAGACTTAGGCAAGACAAATGACATACAGGCTGCATGGGTGCCTGTTACCTGCTATACGCCTGTAGTTTTTAGTTTTTGAATAAGCAGTATGTGGTGACCTAATTGCCTCAATTAGGTCACCACAAGCACACACTCACAAACACACACTCTGATATACATGCTGCACATGGCTTGAAGACAGGAAGGAAGCCACAGGTTTATTCTCTACCTTGTTCAATACAGCAGATAATTTACCATAGATACTGTATAACAGAATTTATAAACACTGCCATCTAGTGACCAAAATTGTATACTGCAGAAGTTGTTGCTATAAACTCAGTAATGTGTATTCTAACACTAATACTACCAGCTTTGTATTTGGGGATCATCTGATAAACATGTAAGGGCAACCTTGCTGTTGTATTTGGGGTTAAGTACACAAAGGAGCAGGGCAGAGCTTATTGGATTGTGCAGGACTGGGGCTTTCTGGTAGATTGATGTAGACTGATACTGAAATGAAGATTAAGAATGGTTGATAAGCACAAATGACTTCTTCTGCAGAAATCCTGTGGTATGTTTCAAAATAACCATAGTAATCGGAGAGTTGAGACATTTGCCATGGTAAATCTGTATTTTTCTGTAAAGGAAATGTAACCATGAAAACAATTCACCAAGCCATGAAATGTCATAGTAATTTCATGGTCAGTTTTTCATACACCACGGTAATTTATTTTTCTGCAAGGAGAAAATGAACCGTGGTGAATGTCCAAATCAAATATGTCAGAGACATTTTCTGCCAATTTGGCATTTCGGTACCAATCCTGTAAGAACAGGTAACCTTTTTGCAACTGTAGCCAAGGTAGTTTCTTTGAACATATGCAATGAAATAAAGGTAGTACAGCTTCATGTCCTGCATGCTTCATTGGTGTCAGATTTTGAAAAAAAAAAGTGGCTTGATGGTAAGTCCACCCAAAACTGATGTTTCAGTGTTGAGTGCATGACGTCCTATTGTCAAGTGCTCCTAAAGAACGATTTCAGCACTGACCTAGTTCCATCTAGCAACAATAAGACAAAGGGTAATTCACCCCACCTGCTTCTGAAATATCAGTTTGGTAGGACTAAAAATGTTAAAATATATGTAAACACCAAAATCTAATATATACTTGAAGGAGAACTATGAGGTGAGTGATTTCCACTCATCCTCATAGTTAGAATCGACCTGTGGCAAAGAGGCCGTCACAGATCGGCTATCGATCGGGAAGTGAGCAGAAACACGCACCGATCCGCTCACTTCCCGATCATCTCCCTGCAGTGAGTGGTGACTGTCAGTCATCGCTCCCCGCAGGGATTCCCCCCTCCCCTCTCCAGTCCTCCAGCACTGAGTGGAGGAAGGAAGGGGGCGGGCACAGCTGGCTCTGCCTCTAAATAGGCAGAGCCAGCTGTCACTCACGCAGCTGCGTGGATCTCGATAGTATTGTTGGGATCCGTCCCGGCTGTGGCGCTCTCAGTATATCGCAGGCAATAGCGGGCCGAAAATACAAAGTGTTATACTTAGTTTTGGGTCACGGGAGGAGGTTAGTATATGTCCTCCCATGACCCTAAAGAGAACTATGGGGAAAGACACTTAGCTCATAGTTCTCTTTTAAACATGCCAATGTAACTTCAAAGGTCATGTTCAATATTTTTAAATCTGAAGGTTTTTAAATTAAAACCTGGAAACCCTGCCACTAAGGTCCTTGATCAGACACTTCCTGTAATAGGCTGACAGCTTTCTGTCTCCCAATTGTGCTCCTTTGTTGTCACTATAAGAGGCCATTTTAACACACATTATGCTGGAACGGTCAACTGTTGTCGCCATCAGACAATGCTGTGCAGTCACTGCTGGAGTGCATACTCGTAGATAAGAAGTGGCTGCAAAGAGGCTGCAGCACTAAGATTCATTAACCGCTTAAAGACCCGGGTGTTAAACCCCCTTCCTGGCCAGGCCATTTTTCAGTGTTCAGCGCTGCGGTACTTTGACTGACATTTATTCAGCCGTGTAACGCTGTACTGAAACAAATTTTATACCATTTTTTGGGGACACATAGAGCTTTCTTTTGGTGGTTTTTAATCACCACTGGGGGTTTTATTCTTTACTATATAACAAAAAGTACCGAAAATCTTGAAAAAAACCCGTTTTCCTATTAAATGTTATGAAACCTTTATTATCACCCCAATTATTTGATAAAATATATAAAAGACGGGGTAAATAGATTCCAAACAAGCGCGCGCAACCCGGAAGTGTGCGAAAACACACACAACGGCCGTCGCACAGGAAGTGATGCTGCTACCTGGTTTATCTCACCGTATAAAAATGAGCCTGCCCCTGCTCCATTGCTGATGGTCTTTTCAGCTAGTGTTCCTGTGTGCTTGTACCTGTTGGATTCCTGTTACCTGCCTGACTCGGTTTGCTTGGACTTTGCTATTGGATTGCTGCCTGCCCCTGACCTCGGCCTGTTTCCTGGACTTTTTCTTCTGCCTCCTGATTTTG